TGGATAAGGCATGGAAGAAATTCGAGGAAACAAGGTCACCAAAGTCACCGACAGTTGGTAATTTCACATGTACATGCTTAATTTCCAAATTATACTTATGTTCTATATTAGATGCTTATGTTTTAAAGTACTTTTTTATGTTCTAAAACATGCGCTTAAATCACATGCTTATGTTCTAAATTATATGATTATGTTCTAAATTAGTTATGTTCTAAATTAGTTATGTACTAAATTAGTTATGTTCTAATTGTTAAGCAGATTTGAGATCAAAGGAAGAGGAAAAAGATAAGAACAAAGAAGAGAGAAATGAAGAGAATAAAGACAAAAACTTGTTGATTCCCTCACCAGTAGTTGGTAATTTCACATTATTTTCAAATTCATTTTTTATGTACTAATATTTACTAGATATGTTCTAATATTACTTCTTATGCTCTAAATTTTTTCTGGTTATGCTTTAAAGTTAATTCTTAATTTTTTATATTCTAACTATTTCTAGGTTGTCTCCTAATTGTATATATTTCTTATGTTCTAAAGTTACTTTTTATTTTCTAATTATTTTTTGCTATTTGCTATAATACTTAATTTTTATGGTGTAATTGCTATGAAGATTTGGGATCAAAAGAAGAAGAAAAAGAGCAGTACAGAAAAGAGAGAAACGAGGAGGAAAAAATTGAGAAGAAAGAGAAAAGGAATGAGGAGTCACCAAAAACCCCAATTCCTCCAAAAAAGAAGCAACCTTTTGATATAACTCCTCCAAGTTTCAAGTTATTGACCCCCTCACCAGCAGTTGGTAGTTTTACATTATTTTCAAACTTTTTTCTTTTGAAATAATATTACTAGATTTGTTTTAAAATTACTTCTTATGTTATAAATTTTTTCTGTTATGTTCTAAAGTTATTTCTGATGTTCTAAATTTTTTCTAAATCAGATGCTTATGTTTTAAACTACTTTCTTATGTTCTAAATTATGTGCATATGCTCTAAATTATATGATTATGTGCTAAATTATGTGCATATGCTCTAATAATATGATTATGTTCTAAATTATGTGCATATGTTCTAAATAATATGATTATGTTCTAAATTAGTTATGCTCTAAATTATGTGCATATTTTCTAAATAATATGATTATGTTTGAAATTAGTTATGCTCTAAATTATGTGCATATGTTCTAAATTGTATGATTATGTTCTAAATTATGTGCATATGTTCTAAATAATATAATTATGTTGTAAATTAGTTATGTTCTAAAGTTACTTCTTGTGTTCTAAATTTTTCTGGTTATATTCTAGTTATTTCTAATGTTCTAAATTTTTTCCAACTATTTCTATGTTGTGTCCTTATTGTTTCTACTTATGGTTTGATGTCCCAGAAAATCAAGAAGATAATGAAGCAGAACTCACTTACGAAGAAGTGACAGCAAATGTTCTAAATTGTGCTTTTCTAAATCCAGATCATCCACCTACATTGGATGAAGAGGAGAAGCAAGAAGAGGAAAAAGAGGAGAAGAAAGAAGAGGAAAAAGAGGAGAAGAAAGAAGAAAAGGAGAAGAAGAAAGAAGAGGAAAAAGAAGAGAAGCAAGAGGAGAAGAAAGAAGAAAAGGGGAAGAAGAAAGAGGAGGAAAAAAAGGAGATCCAAGAGGAGAAGAGAGAAGAAAAGGGGAAGAAGAAAAAGGAGGAAAAAGAGGAGATCCAAGAGGAGAAGAGAGAAGAAAAGGGGAAGAAGAAAAAGGAGGAAAAAGAGGAGAATCAAGAGGAGAAGAAAGAAAATGAAGGAAGCAAGAATGAAGAGAAGAACAAAGAAGAAAAAAATGAGAACAAGAAAGGGTAATCATTTTGTAAACTTTAAAACAAATGTTGGTTATGGTTTAGTTAAATTTTAATTTAGAACTTGGTAATAATAAATTTTGGTTTGATTTGGTTATGGTTTTTGTTATCAATAAATTTTCGTTTGATTTAGTTATGGTTTTTGTTATCTATGTGATATTTTTTAATTGAATTAAGTAGGAAACAAGGAGAAGAAAAAGGAGAAGAAAAGACACGGAAAAAAAGAGGAAAGGATAAGCTTCCAATGTACTTGCGTTCACCTTTCATGGTTGAACATGAAAAACTTTTCAAGAATGTGGACAATAGAAAGGTAGCTGAGTATGCGTTTGCTCAAGGAGATAATAAGTAAGACTTTAAAACTTTAAAATTATATGCTTATGTTCTAAGCTATATGCTTATGTTCTAAGCTATATGCTTATGATCTAAGCTATAAATTATGTTCTAAACTTCATTCTTATGTTCTAAACTGCGTGTTCTAAGCTACGAGATTATGTTATAAAGTACATGTGTAAAACTATATGCTTATGTTCTAAAATAGGTACTTATGTTCTAAACTATATTCTTATGTTTTAAATTATGTGTTTATGTTCTAAACTACATGCTTATGTTCTAAACTACATGCTTATGTTCTGATTTTATTGTTCTGATTTTAGGGAGCTTTTGTATGCTGATAACATGGGGACAACGATTACGAGAGATGAGATTCATAGTCTCATAGAAGATAAGCACATGTTGAACAATGTTGTGGATGCTTATGTTTGCCTATTGAATTTTGAAAATAAAAGACGTGGTGTAGACAAGAAGAGTAGATTCTTTTTCAGTACTGAATGCTATGTATGTTTTCGAACTTAAAATTATAACTATGTTCTAAGAGTAGATTCTTTTTGTTTCTCATATAGATTATACTATGCACCTATGTTCTAATTACTTATGTTTTAATTTCTTTTTCTTTTTCAGCTCATACGTTGTACAGAAAAATACTTCAAATCAAATGAAAGGCAAGATGATAGAATGAAGGCTTTGTTTGATAGAATGCAACAAGAAATGACAACGACCGAAGTAACAAGCTTCAAAAGCATTCAATTGGTAATTTGGTATCTTATTATGTTGTACTTTTTTCTTATTATATGTTCTAATTATTGGTTTTGTTTATGTTCTAATTATTTTTATCTATGTTTTAAAGTATCTACTTATGTTCTAAACTACTTATTTATCTTCTAAACTACTTACTTATGTTCTAAACTACATGTTATAAAAATTATATGCTTGTGTTCTAATCTATATGCTTATGTTCTAAAATGCATGCTTATGTTTTAATTTTGCTTATCTATGTTCTAATTCTGTTTATCTATTAGGTTTTCTTCCCGGTCGTTTTACTAGATCACTACTATTTGCTGTGTGTCAACTTTGTGGAAGGAACATTTGATTTGATTGACAACAGATTTCTTCCACCAAATATTCCTTTTCACAATAAATATGGAAATTACCATAGATTAATGGTAAGACATCAAGTTTACATTTTTTTAATTATACTTTTGTTCTAACTTTTGCCTTATATGTTCTACAGTTTTTCTTTATGTTCTAAAGTTTACCTTATATGTTCTAAAGTTTATCCAATTTTTCAGTTGAATGCATTTGCTGATTTCGTTCACTCAATTGACTCAAATATAAAGAGTGACTTTGTATCCTCCTTCAAAACAAGAAACTTGAGTATGTCATGGAAGAGCAATAAGAACAAACATGATTGTGGAGTGTTCCTGTTGAAGCACATGGAAACATATGAAGGAGAATCTGTAAAACAATGGAATTCGGGACTAGAATTAGACAATGTAAGTTTAAAACATAAGATACATGTTTTAAATTAGTTTCGTTTATGGTTTTGGTGTTATGGTTTTAGTGTTGTGGTTTGGTTTGGTTATTGTTTAGATATATTATGGTTTATTATATTTATTTATACTTATATGCTAAATTATATTCATGTTCTAAATTATATGCTTATGTTCTAAAGTATTTCTGTTTATGTTCTAAAAGTTACTCTTTTTTTTTTTTTTTTGCAATTTGACCAAATGTTTATGTTTATGTTCTAAAAGTTACTCTTTTTTTTTTTTTTTTTTTTTGCAGTTTGACCAAATGAAAAAATTAAGAGTGGAGTATTGTGGGAAGATAATAACAGCAGAAGTAAATGAAGAACGGAACAAAGTGATTAGGAGATCAAAAAAGTGGTCAAAGGAGAACAAAATGGATATATGATTGTTAAGATCTTAAGTTTATATTTGTAGAGAGATATTTGCAAAGAATATAACAGTAATTTTTTATGTTCTATGTATTTACCTGTTACAAGAAATATATTGTTGAATCATATTAAATGCTAAAATTTTAATATAAAATATATCATATAAACTTATATGCTAAATTATATTCATGTTCTAAATTATATGGGTATGTTCTAAAGTATTTTTGATTATGTTTTAATAATTATATGCTTATAAAGTTAGGATATTAGAATATATTATTATATATTAATTTTGACTTAAAACTTAAAGTGTAGAACATTAGAACATAAGAAAATTAAAAAAAAGTAACAAGAAATGACAACAGCCAAAGTAACAAGATTCCAAAGCATTCAATTGGTAACTTGATTCTAATTATATCTTATTATGTTGTACTTTTTTCTTATTACATGTCCAAATTATTGATTTTGCTAATCTTCTAATTATTTTTATCTATGTTCTAAAGTATTTGCTTATGTTCTAAACTGGCTGCTTCTAATCCATTACTTTTGCTTTATTTTTCCTTTTGAATACAATGCATACACTCTTTAGTGCATATCTAAGAAGGCATATGTAAATCAATGTTAAGAAACTTGAATAAATAAAAGTTGATTAAAGCAAGATTCAACTAAATGTTGTTTAATAAAGGTATCTAAAATGCTTGTACTATCATTACTCGTAGTTCAAATTGACTTAATAAAACAACTTATAATTACGAAAAGGGGGGAAGATGAAAAGACAGGAGATGTTATAAAACATTATAATCAACTTTAATTAACATAAAAATTGATAAGAAAAACACTAGTAGAGATACTCTGAATAATAATTGGACAAAAAAGAAATAAAAATATATTGTTTCTAAAAGTAAATAAATTGAGTTCTTATATTTTAAGAATTACATGAATAATATTTTACGTGCTAGTAAATGAGATATTGTTTCTAAATATATAACATCTCATGCAACTGGATTAATAGTATATTCACCAACCTGTAAAGAAAAAAAAATAAAACAATATTAGAACATAAGCACATAATTTAGCATTAAAAAATGTTATAACATGCCATTTCTATTAGTTTAGAACACATGATATTATATAGAGTAAAAACTTTAGAACATTTAAAGAAACTTTAAAACATATAAAGAAAACTTTAGAACATATAAAGAAAATATTTTGAACATAAAGAGAAAAGTTAAAATATAAAGGAAAACTTTAGAACAAAATGAATAACTTTATATTCTAAACATTAGAGCATATTAAATTACACTAAAACAGAAAGAATAAACATTAGAACATAGAGAAAACACTTTAGAACATAGAAAAGTAACTTTAGAACAAAGAGAAAACACTTTAGAACATATTGAATTACTTTAGAACATATATGAATAACTTTATGTTCTAAACTTGCTTAAAACATAATTACTTTAGAACAAAATAAATATAAGAAAATTAAAAATAAAGTTTACTTACAATATCACTTGACTTTTCCAGGGCAATTACGACTATCATGATAACCAAGCTCCCCACATGCTCTACATAATCTCTTCTTCTTTTGACTTTGTTCAATAGACTTTTCTCTGTCACTCTTCATTCTTTTGTCACTATTTGGAACATGAACCTCATTTGGAACATGGACATCATTTGGAACATGGACATCATTTGGAACATTTACCTGATTTGGAACATGAACCTGATTTGGAACATGGACATCATTTGGAACATTGACCTGATTTGGAACATGAACCCCCGTGCCTTTGTTCTTCGAAATTTTAGGAGGTTTGATTAAAACATTAGAAGGTAGACTAGCTCCAATAAGCATTTCAATGTCTTTAACTTTGCTCGAAAGATTGTTGCTTCCATTTGTTTTCTTCTGTTCCAAATCTACCCTCATGGCTCGAAGTTTTTTGACAAGATCACTAAGATCATATTCATTGTTTTGCACTAAACTCACACAAGCATGAATTTCAGACCACAAATCATTTAATAACATTTTCTTATCTACTGCATTAATACATTCCTCCAACACATTACCCTCTAAATCAAAAATGGGCTTCTTATAAGCCATTGTACACCATCTATTTAGAATGTAGGCCTTGGGAATTTTTTCTAACATCCTTGCCTTCCACACCAAATCATATGCCTACAAGGCACACCATCACGTTCAAATTTTTTACAAAAACACTTGGTATCAAAGGTAGTTGGATCAAAAACAACATCAAAAGTCCTCCTTCTAGTTCCTTCCCTCAAATTGAAAATGTAAAGCTCATTGTCCTTCTTCATCTCCTCAACACCACAATTAAAACATCCAATTTCAAGCTCATATTGAAATTCATAGAAAATTGTTGTTGTAAACAATTCAGAAGCATCTTTCTCTAAAGGAATTGGAGTCTTACACTCCGGACGCTTATTCTTCGAATCATTATCCATTTTATTTTGAGTGTGCCTTTGAGCATTCAATGCACATTCAAACCTATAGAAAATAGAAATTAACTTTAAAACATAGAAGATAATTGTAGAACATAGAGTGAATTACATTAGAACATATAAATATACATGACATGTTTATTATGATCTAAATATTATTAAAACATAAAGAGAAAAAGAAAACATAAAAGAGAATTATAAAATAAATAGTAAAACTATAAAGCATAAAAAGAAAACTTTAGAGCATACAAGGAAAACTTTAGAACATAAAGAGTAACTTTAGAACATATATAGACAATTACTTATTACCTCATGTAGAACTCAATCAAAGTGAGATGGGGATTTGTGAACATAGTGAAAAAATTATTTTCACTTTCTGATCTAGATGTGGTTCTCATAATGCCACCCAAAAATAAATCTCTGAAATACGCTGGAATCCACATATCACGTATGTTGTACATGTATGCCAACCATTCATGATCGTTCAAATGGAATTCTGAAATAACTTTGTTCCACTTTTCTTCAAATTCTGCCGGCTCAATCTCTAAATGCCAAACACATGAACACAGTTTTTTCAAGAAATCAGTGTCTTGGGCAATCGCCCGACCTACTTTTTCAGGCACCTTTTTCATAATATGCCACATACAAAACCTATGTTCTGTAGTTTGAAAAACATTACGAACAACAACTTTCATTGCAGGGTCTTGATCGGTAATCAAACACACAGGCTCGTTATTTCCCATTGCTTTAAGAAAAGTTTTGAAAACCCATTCAAAAGATGATATATCCTCATGAGCTACAAAAGAATCCGCAAAAGTAACACATTTTTTATGATGATCAACTCCAGTAAATGGACCAAAGATCATATTATATCTGTAACATACACAAATTATTTATGCAGAAAATAGAGGTAAACTTTAGAACATAGAGGTAAATTGTAGAACATAGAGGTATACTTTAGAACATAGAGGTATACTTTAGAACATTAAGGATAAACTTTAGAGGATAGTAATTTACTTTAATTATTAAACTTGGCAGTAATATAGTTGTTTTAAAACATAATGAATTACTCTAAAACATAAACACTAAACTAAAAATATACAGTAAAGCTTTAAAAACTTATAAGTAAACTTTAGAACATATAGACATAATGTTTAGAACATGATGGATATTAGTTTAGAACACAAAGAATAAAGTGTAAAACACAAAAGCATAATGTTTAAAGCATAAAAGCATGATGGATATATTTTAAAGCATAAGGTAGAACATTAGCAATATATGTTTAGAACATAAGGCATACATAGTTTAGAACATAAAGAATATTTGTTTTAGAACATCAAAACATGATGGATATTTGTTTAGGAACACAAGGCATGATATTTAGAATATAAGAACATATGTTTAAAAAATTAATATGTAAAAGTAAAATATTAATTACATTATGAAAGAAATTTATATTTAAAAACATCACCTGTTTGTTTTGAATGTGGTATCAAAAGAAACCATATCACCAAAAGTGCATAATTTTTTCGACAGATTGGATCAGCCCATAAAGCTCTACAAAGTCTATCTTCTTCATCAACATCATAGGAAAAAAAAAAATGCACTCCAAAGCACTTTCTTATTTTGAAAATTATCCACAAACATTTGGCATCTGATCCATCAATATAAGCCTTCAAATCTCTATAAAAATTTTTGAAATCTTGTTTTAGATGCACCAACATTATCATGTGATCCAGCTAATTCTTTCATCATAGTATAAGACCTCACAGGACCAACATTTACCTGTTAGAAAAAAAAAATATTACTAAGATTAAGAATTAACTTTAGAACATAGTAAATCAAAACAAAAAAAAACATTATTTAGTACATAAAAATAAATCACCTTTGAATTATCAACAATCAACTTTTTATGCATAATATGCATTTTTCTATTATCCTTCTGAAATTTTGCACAACTTGGAGTATATAAAAGATGATTATGTTCTTCTTTGAAATGAGTTACAACATACTTTCCAGCATCATATCTCATACATATGTGAGCATTGCATCCTACACGAGTGACTAAACGTTTCCTAGTAATATGAACTTTTCCTTCTTCATAAACTGTTTGTTGAGCAATAGGTTTTCTTATTGCCCTAAAACCTTCCTTATTGCAAACTCCATATTGAAAAGCAATTATATCTTTGTTATTCTTCTTCCTTTTAGTAGTAGATTTCCTAGAAGTAAACCCAGCGGCATTTGCATATGCTTTATAAAAACTAAGACCCTCTTCAGGATCTTTAAATATCATACCCAAACTGGGTTTTAACTCTTGGGAACATTTGGAATCCATTCCTTAGTGGTACCACCAGGGCTAAATGATCCAACAACCTCTGGAGTACGATAAATATCACCAACTGCATTAGAACATGAAAGTAAACATTAGAACATACAATGAAAGTCATAGAATATGAAGAAAACATTAGCACATAATAAAAAACTTTATAATATAAAGAGAAAGATACATAGAAAACTTTAGAACATACAGAGAAAACTTTAGAACATCAAGGATAACCTTTAGAACATAGTAAATTAGGGACATACTTATAACATATTGCTTTAGAACATAGTGAATTACTTTATAACATACATAATAAAATTTAGAATAAAGTAAAAAAATTAAACTAAAAGGTTAACTTTAGAACATACAATGAAAGTAAACATTAGAACATAAAAAGTAAAATTTAAAACTAGAAGGTAAACTTTAGAACATAGAATGAAAGTTTTAGAATATAAAGATAAAGTAGGATTCCCTACTCCTATGTCAGATTGATGGGGCCATGCTTTGGTGATTCCAGTGGCAGTGACATGCATCAACTATCCCTATGTCAGATTGCTAGGATAAAGTAGCATTCCCAACTCCCAAGCCCCAATGCCCAGCTCCAAGACGAGCCTTGAGGTTGTTGTGGCATTATCCAATAATGATCGATATTGTTTTACCCACAGTTTACTTTGAATCATTACAAATTATTTAAAATGGATTAGATATTTTTTATTTATCAAATTAATTAACTTCCTCAATAATGATCAATATTGTTTACCCACACGTACTTACTTTTTATAATCCTTCATCAACCACTCTTTCATACTCCGATGTATTCTGCATTCTAAAAGGAGTTCAATAGGCAACGGAACATGGCATTTGCACTTATCATTCGGATGGGAACATATAGAGAAAACTTTAGAACATTACCGATAAACTTTAGAACATAGTAAAGAAACTTTAGAACATGTAAGTAAATTGAAATTAAAACATTAAAAAACAATAAAATTACCTGAATGAGTAACACAAGAAGAAGGATAATTAGGTTGAACACCATCTAAATCCATCAATATGCAAAAACCTATTTAAAAAAACACATATTGTAGCAAAAAAGCAACTAGAAATTAAAATCCATTAAAAAACAAAAATATGGAAAAAAAAAACTCAAGCAAAGGAAAAAACAGAACAATCTGGAAATGAAAAATCACAAAAAAAACAGAAAATTAATGAAAAAAAAACTGAAGAAAATTCGCAAAAAAAAAAAAAATAGATAAAATCGAAAAAAACAAAAAATAATTGCTCGAAAGTAGGAAAAAAAAACAAAAAAACATATAACATTGAAAAAATCTGGAAATGAAAAATCGAAGAAGAAAGAGAAAACTAGAAAATGAAATTGATGAAATTAATGAAAAAAAACTCAAGAAAATTCGCAAAAAAAAAAAAAAAAAAAAAAAAAAAGAATAAAATCGACATAAACTTACATTAATCTCAATAATAAAAAAAATGAATGATGAAATCGCAAAAAGAAAAAAAAAAAAAACAGATTTTTGCTGATTTTTCGAATTGATGAATTGCATATCCACAAATAATATGAAAAATAAAATTTCACACAAATTCGCCAAAATAAAAAAAAAAAATCAACAAAAATTCGCAAAGAATAGATATCAATAAATAAATTAACTAAAGAATTATCAAAATTATAAAAATTGAATAACAAACCTTAATTTCTTGAAGGAATTTGCATCCAAAAGTATGAGAAGAGAGAGAGTTGTAATGTATGAGAGGAGAGAGAAAGAGTTGTAAATTTGTAAATGTATGAGAGGAGAGAGAGAGCTGTAATGTTCAAAGCCCAAAAAAAAAAGGAAAGAAGAACCGTGAATGAGGAGAAAGAAAGGGAAAAGAACAGCAAAAATTACTAAAAATGCCATTACTAATCATTCATTTTCAGCGGTCAGATCAAACTAATTGTACGGTCCAGATTAGTTCTTATATATAATGGGTTCTTATATAGAGGAGGGTTCTTACATGAGCCTTCCTCTATATATATTATATATATATATATATATATATATATATATATATATATA